CTTTACAGTAATTGTGAAAGCATTTGTGACAATTTGATCTAGCCTGTAAAATGGGGTGACTCTTGTAACGTAGTTATTTGAGAATAAATATATTATTATGACTACCAAATCACAACACCTAGAATTTGATCATGGCGACACAGAGTTGTGGTTTGCTCAGCAACAGAATTATTTTAAGAAACACAATATTCAAGATGAAGGAATTCCACTCTTTCCTCCCTCCTTCAGCTACTAAGGCAAGTTCACCCACTTCAGAACGATACATCATTTTAGGATATGAGATGAGGACCCGCCTATCCTTGTCTGACCATTAGAGAATCTGAAGGCCTTTCCATAGCGAAAATCTAGGTGATTGGTCTCTCTCCTAGTTCTCTTGTCATCCTCAATTCTTAGTTATCGACATCTGGGTGGAGCAGTCCAAAAACCAGTATAGACACACACCATCCATGATACGCGCAATACGGTTTGGGTGCAAAGGACATAAGCACTTATTTACCACACAGCACGAATCGCAGATGGAAATGTGGAGAAGTTTTTCAACTGGAGTACATGCTATACACCATAAAAAACGAAGAGTCATCAAACAACCAAGTTATAGCAGAACCTATCACCAGTCTTAACAATCTGTTAGAGACTGTCGCAAAGAAGCAAGCAGATCATGGAAACTGGAGTAGGTCACCTCAACGAACATGGTCCTCGTCATGATGCAGACTGCAGACACTCAGACTACCCTGATAGTTCTGTTGGTACTATCGTGAGTTTGGTGCTAAATCAATTAGGTGCTGCATAACGTGTGCCTGAACAAAACAAACTCTGAATTTTATGGTAAAGGAATAGCCCCTCCACAGGCTAGAACGACTTAAGGGGTGTTAGAGACAGAAATCCCAGCTTAAACTTTTTGGTGTATACATGTGCTTCACTAGGTGTCCTTCCGCAAGACATAACTGACCAAGGTTAAAAATGCACCCAATAACACCCCATGTTGATAACAAACCTAAAATCCCGACATTTAGACAGGAAACTTTAACACTAGATTTCGAATTTAAAAGGCACTTCTCAATGGGGTCCAGTGAAAGTAGATTTAGATCTAGCGATATGATGAACGGAATTTTTGGAGAGATAGACACCAAGAAGAAACGTCATATTAAGAAAACAGCACAAAAAGCCACACCACTTCTGTAGAATTTATTTTGAAGGTTTTGTTTTTGGAAAATCCCTCCATGTATATATATTTGTGCTATGATATGACTGACTCTTTCTGTTGATATTTTGGTACTCTATTTGATTCCATTTTGGGATTTTATCATTTGTATCTTGTCATTATTTCTATATCTTGTACTTATATTGAAGTTTCTATGTTTCATTCTGAACTATATATGTGTTGTTTAAAATTGATGTTTAATATGGCTGCAACCATATTTGGATTCGATACTCTAGCAGTAACTGACTGGAAGCACTTATTCTTCCAGTAACGGAACCTATTGTGGTAATTGGAAACTCGAAGTTGTAATATTGTTTTGGTAATTGTCTGAATTTCCCTTTTTGATTAAACATAGAACCGTTCTGTCCCATAATTATCGCTTTTGGACTTGTACTGGGCGGGACGCGTATGAACCTACACCATTCGGGTTTATAGCGGACTGCAAGAGTAATATTATCATTTTATAACTTCCCTAAATTTAACAAAAACTGCATGGTCCCAGGATATACTCGTGGAAAGTCCAAACCTCACCAAGTCTAACCCCCAACCTTACAAAGGTATGCTGGAGGTTTGTCATAAAGCCAAAACCGAAGGTACGATTGGGTTCACTAGGCCCAGAATAATAGAATCTAATATGCTTAAACTGGCTATAGAGGAATTATAATTCACCCTCAATGTCGAAGGTAATGAGTAAACCAAGAATCGTACCAGTCACATATGTTACGGCCGACTATCATTAAGCGTTCATCCAATATGCATATCATTGCAAAGAAGAACGACCGTAACTGGAAACCATGTGAAGATTACTGGCCCTCAGTCGTTAAATCATACAGGATAGGCATACACCACCTCATGCATCCAAAATTTTATAAACGGATTGCTGGAAATGAAATTTTAACTCAGAATGGTAAGAGTGTACCACAATTCATCAGTAGTTGTGGAGGATATTCCTAAGACAATAATTACCACACCTTTTGGAATTCTGAAGTTTTTACAAACGCCATCCGGACTTAGTAACATGACAAAATATTTTAAAGGTTTATGGACAATCTGCTGCAAGATTCGCCTTTTGCCGGAGGATAGATGATTTATAATTTATAATTAGCATCACATGAACAACAAATGAAATCTATCTTAAAATGGCTAGGTGATGAACATACATCGAAGTAAATGTGTTTAGGAACTTCAGACTTTAGAATTTCTCCAACATACAACAAGCCATGAAAAGAATACACCAATAAAAATGAGATAGAGACCACTGAGATATGCCCGATACATAGTTACTGAAAAGAACTTAGAAGTTTTCTAGGTTTAAGTAACTTTTGTCACTGACCAATACTCAGTTGTTCTTAATAATGTATTTGTTGACAGATCCAATTGGGGAAAACAGAAATAGAATGAGCCAGCCTAAGCACCCAAGTTAGTTCCCCCAAACACCAACTGTCCACTCGTTTTAATGGTAGATGCTTAATCAAGTAGTTAAAAACACATGATGACCAGATGAGTATTTCTCAAAAAGATTCGCTCCAGCATACATCATTCGCCCTTACACTGGATTTACTTCCGGTGAAATAACCATTCAGTTTGACAGTTGCATCCAAAAAAGCACTTCTGTTGAAAAACCTAAACTTCTTATATGTACATTGATTTACTTTTAGTGATTTCAATAAAAACCACGATAACACTTAAAAACCACGGAAACACTTGAGGGTGTCTTTCAAGTTACGCCCTTCTTCTGAACTATCTAAGAAGTCTTGTATGCAGGAGATAGGCGCCAGATTTAGATTCAAGGTTAGTGACGGATTTAAAACCCCGTGTCTTATCCGCGGATTGTTGATTTGTCGTAATATTATGTTATTATCGATGTTTATCGATCCACTTTATCATAGTATTTCCGTGTTTTTCATCCGTCTAGTGGATGGTTGGCAAACTGTATCACTTGTTTTACTCTTAATATGCCACTTATGCATATCTAGCAAACTTTTTAAGACCTTCGGATCTCATATCTCGAAGTGTGTAATTCCCATAGAGAGTTATTGTTCTGACTTCAAGTCATCCCCAAGTCTTAATCTGACGACCGATACTTTTTTTGTGTTCAATTAACACTCTCTGTAATAATAGCCACTTTTGGTGAAAAGCACTGAAAATCGACATGAAACTGCAGAAACGATAAATCATTCTTAGTGTTTTTCAAGAAACCACATGAAATTTGATTATTGCTGTTATAAAATTTTGAATCTAATAATTGTGTTCGAAATTCTTCAGTTATGATTTACGTTGCTTTAATCCACCACCTACAAATTCCATATTCCATGAATTCAGTTTTCGAGAATTTCGAGTTCTGATCTTGTTTAAAGTAATCTATTCACCTAGTTTGTATTCGAATTTCTTAATCCAATAAAACACAAAAATTTACTCAACTGCTCTTTTTCTGATATTCAAAATGTTACACTTTTCTCATCACCTTTTTTATTCACTCATAAATTTTCCAAGACTCTTAGTTTCGTTATATTCAATGTCTAGGCAAAAGATAATAATTGTGTAATTCAGTCGCAAAATATAGCAAGACTAATTTTCCAAATGGATTTCGTAGAATGAAAACAAGATCTTAAGAAGTGTAAATGTGTTTAGATTAATAAGCTTATAATATGGTTCAGATTGATTGTTTATATTAAACGAGCAAACGAAATACATCAATAAATATGAAACCTTCACAAATTAAGTCTATGAATAAATCAACTGTTGACTAGATTCCATTTGTTCGTATAGTTTGGCTTTTCGTTTGAATATAGAGAAGGCCTCATGACCTCATAAAAGAAGGTAACTTGGCTTTCCGTAAGCTCTTGTCCACATTTTTTAAAAGACTTTAAACAATGAGTCAACTCCTTCCGATTCCACTGTACTGAAAATTTGTTCTGTGATTAAACTTTGTGCAACCACTTGTAACGTTCCTTAACCATCCTGTGCATTATTCTTTGTTCTTCTCGGACAATCGAAAAGTCCACCTTGTTGGACCTAGCTTCCTTGAATAATATCGTTAAACCCCAATCTTTCCGATTAATGTTCATACTTCTACCACCTCTATCACAATCGGATTTAAATCGACAGTCATATCTGTGTGCTAATGTTGTATGACAATTTGAGCTAATGTACATACGTGCGAAGTTCTGTGTTGTAGCTGATTGTCAGCTGACATAATATTCATCGAATAACCAGTATATGTTTCCTCACAGGAATGATGGGGAATCGATAAATACGGATCAAAGAGGTTACATAAAAGTTCCGAATCTATTAAACCTCATACGTAAAAAATATTGAATCAATCTACTGACTAACTTTTAAATTCAAATCGAACATAACTATAAGATGACACCTAAATATTTATGCGCCAAGCATTTCATTGAGTTTCTAAGTGGTCGGAAATACTATCTGAGTTCCTAAACAAAACCAAGTGATTTTTTTGAGAAGCCACTCCTTGAGCCTTTGACTTACTTATATTATCTACAAGGCAATAAAGCAATGCCAGGGTATGCAGTCCCATAATATCTCGTGATCAAAAATAGTCTGTCTGGTATGCTATTTGTTCCTTTAGGATCCTGAAACCATCGTGCACAATTAGTTTGGAATGAGTGTTTTCCAACTCCTCTTATTGAATCTTTCGTATCCACAAAGTAAAGTTTTCAAACCAATTAATTTATAAATAATTCTGAAATGTTTATGTTTTTATTTTCGAAATTCCTGATTATCTCTTTTACTTTTTCATAAAACTCTTTTCTTTTTTTGCATTTTTAGCAGATGTATGGATAAAACAAAACGAAAAACTTTTATGTTTATTCCTTCTGAATTAACTGAATGTGGTTTGTTAAAAAATCCAAAAATCCAATATTCAAATACTACTGATTTTTATTTACTTGGTTATAAAATACCAGAATCAAATAATAATCATAATCATAATGATCATCATTATTCAAATAACAATGAAGTTGTATTAATTTTAAGCTTTTTTAATTCATTCACTGGGAAAAATGAAAAATGTCCTTATTGTTGTAAGTTATGTAAATTTAATGTATTTGTTTTGGAGAAATTAGTATAATTTATATGGTGTATTTGGTTCTAATAGTTAATTAAGTGTGCGGTGTTTGTCAGTGACTTCATGGAAAACATGGCAGAAATCCATGAAGTCACTGACAAGTGAACTGAGTCATGTTGGTAGATGTAGGCTACTTGGTTGGGGTCAGCGAGACGAAAGTCACTAATGGTTAGAGATCTTGAACGACATGGTTCGAAATCGCTTGCGATGGCGCAGGTGCATCCACCCTTCGTTTTCTCTGAAATCCTAACCTTCTGGATTCGTTAACACCTTTAACTTTGTCTTTCTAAACTTATCTCACTGAATTATACTTCTTGATTAATATCTTGGAACCCTAGTATTCTCTTTTACCAGCAGTACCTCTACTATCTCTACCACTATGGGATTGATTTGCCATCCTTACCTTATCTACAGTATTGCATACACCATTTGAAGCGGCGACTGAAGTTTCATGCTGGTTATTTGTAACAACACCATAACTCATTTGATAACGAGCGATGAAATCATCATCGATCTGTAAAATTTACGAATAGATAACCATCAGGTAAATTACCAATTAAAAAAATGTAATATATATATATATATATATATATATATATATATATATATATATATATCAGTCCCAATGTAATATCTGCACGTAGAGAGGTGGCTTAGTCGTCAAGGTATTCAACTTTAATTCACTAACCCCTATGTTTGTACCCTGCTCCACCTTACTTCGGTTCGAGCAACCAGGTAGAATAATTAACCCTCATAATTATGATGTGGCTCATACCCAGGTACCCGGAGAACGATCTATTTCTTTTTATTATCATTTATAGGTTACCCTAGGCAGACAGACAGACAGACAAATACAACGCAGAACTTCGTACGTAAGTACATCAGTTCAGGTTGCCATACCGCATCAGCACAGAGACAAAACTGTCAGTTCAAATCCAACAGTGATAGCAATAATAGAAGTATTAGCAATAATGGGGAAGATTAGGGAGCAAAGATATGATATGATTCGAGAAGTATGATTCAGTAAGATAAATTTAGAAGGAGAAAGATAGAGCTTATGAAGAATTCAGAATGTTAGAATTTCATAGAACACAAAGAGTGGATGCACCTGCGCCATCGCAAGCGATTTCGAACCATGTCATTCAAGATCTCTAACCATTAGTGACTTTCGTCTCGCGGACCCCAACCACGTAGCCTACATCTACCATCATGACTCAGTCTACTTGTCAGTGACTACATGGATTTGTGACATGTTTTGGTTTGGCCACCCCTAGCCTTCTTCCAACATACCCCTACACCACATAACATAGCTCGTCGAGGCAGTCGGTGGTTAGGCATACGTTACACATGTCCCAACCACCTCAACTGATGAATTTTCACTACTTCATCTATTAATTTCCCATCCCTACCTAGAACTCGTTTCCTAACGACAGCATTGCTCATACGGTTGTCCCAGGGGATACACGAGCAATGCTTCAGAGACACCGTTAATCGAAGACTAATAACCTATGAAAGTACCTCTACTCTTAAGTCCTACATTATAACTGACTATCAATATCATACTCTTTTTTATTATTATTATTTAAGCATCGTAGTTATGAAGTTAATTTTTTCAACTGTAATTGATTAGTTTTTTTCACAAGAATCGATTTGATACAGTGGTTGATATGATTCGATCCGAAAAATTGGTTTCTTTTTATTTACAAAAATTCTCTTCATTTTCTCTGATTTTTTTTTTAGATGTAAAAATTCAATCCAATGAGAATTTACATATATGTGCTCGTAGTCTTAAAAATTATAAATTCAATCGGTAAGTTAAACATTTTCAACATTTAAACTGTTTTCTTTTTAAGTGAAAAACAAACTTGGACATTTTTATTACTTATATTCGATCATAGATATTAATTAATGTGTATCGGTAAGGGACAGCACTGCATGAACGAATCCCCCTCTGGGGTTACTTCCCGTATAACAGCATCTCTCCTAAAGCTAGTCTATTTTTTGTCCAACCTATGTCCAATGTGTTTCTCTGATTTCACGTACCACACTAGATTGTAGCTTTTGATTTCTGAAGCAATCTGAACGACTCCTCCCAGTCTCCTACAATGTACGAATATTCCATATACCTAAATCAATGGTTGCTCTGGCTGTCAGAGGGGGAAAATCGTCCTCATAACTTCCAAACAAACTTGGATTTCATTATAAGACGTCATAACTCTTCTAAATGAAGTTCGTCTTACTTCCATAATAGTAATGTTTTAGCAAGATGATTTTCCTACGAAATGCGGTCGTTGACCCCATGTGTAACCCCACCCCCTTTATCCAGACTTGAGACTGACAGTTACCCTAGAAGGGTTCTAGGCGGAGTTACGATAAAACATGTTTGGATCAGTTGGTTAATCAGTTACAACGTGGAAGTTTGTACGTACATACACAAGTTCAGGTTGCTGTAACACATTAGCACAAAGATGCAATTGTCAGCTCAAATCCCATAGTAGTAGAGATAGTAGAAATTTTAGCGGTAATGGAGAAGATTAAGGTTGCAAACGATTTTGAGCCATGTCATTCAAAGTCTCTAACCATTGGTTACTATCGTCATCAACTGATTTGGTATCCCTAACTAGTAATCGTTTCTTTACGATAGCACTGCTTACTCGGTTGTCCCACGATACACGAGCAATACTTCAAAGACATCTATAATCGAATACTAATAACCTACGAATATCTTCTACTCTTACCGGCCATGTTTCGTATCCATAAAGTAGGACAAAGCGTACTGCTGCGCAGTACACTCGTCCTTTGTTTAGCAGACGGATATTTCGCCTACGCCATTAGTGACGAAGGTTAACAAAGGCCAATCGAGCCTTCTGTATCCGTGCCGAGACTTCGTCAGTCTCCAGGCCATCAGCACTGATGAGACTCCCGAAATAAGTGAAGCAATCAACACTCTCAACTGTTTCACTCCTTATCACTAGTTCAGATTCCGATGCAACCGAATCTTGTAGCAACATTTTGCATTTCGAAGGAGAAAGCCGCATTCCAAACATGCTTGTATTGTTGCTTAAGGTAGTCAGAAAACTCTTCAGTGACTTTACCAAAACATTTGTGGATAATATCAGTTGTATTATTTTGTCTACCCGATTTGGCCATAAGCTCAAATCCAATCCTTCAACTAACCGACCAATCTGGTTTAGTTACATCTCATTGTGTACGTTTGTGCTAGACTGTTAACACTGATTTACTTATTTACTTACACCTGTTACTCCCAATGGAGCATAGGCTGTCGCCCAATATTCTCCGTCCTAATCTATTACGAGCCTACCTTTTAAGTTCTGTCCAACTTTTGTTCATTCTTCTCATATCTGTCTCCGTTTCTCGACGTAATGGGTTTTCTGTTTGTTGTAACGCTTACTTAAATAATTTCCGGCTAAATCCTATTGTGAAAATTAGAACAACACATATAAGCGAACAATATTGTTTTCGATTAGATCGTCATCAGGCTTTACTCTAATATACATGAATATTTATATGAAAATGTTAAACCAATCAAGGCCTTTCAAGTGTTTTAGCATATATGTGTTGTTCTAATTTTCACAATGGGAATCTTTAAAATTCTTAAATCATGTGGGGATCCTGCTGCATTTAAGGCACTCAATGAGTTCCTGAAGTTTAATGCACGTCTCACAGAAGCGAAGACGAGCTTAGGATTTACGATCAATTGTATTCAGTCAAACAGATATCCTAAATTATATTGGAAGTCATTACGTCGAAACAGAGTCTATCCGAATGCTAAAACACTTGAAAGGCCTTGATTGGTTTAACATTTTCATATAAATATTCATGTATATTAGAGTAAAGCCTGATGACGATCTAATCGAAAACAATATTGTTCGCTTATATGTGTTGTTCTAATTTTCACAATGGGAATCTTTAAAATTCTTAAATCCTATTGCTTAGAATTCTCTGACCACAATACACTGGACAAGTTCCCAAGAATCAAAAACACGGTTGAACAGGAAAAGATTATATTCCAAATAGAAAAGGTTAAACGGAATAAGAGCCGAAGGCGAAGGCAAAAGTAGATACCACGTTACTTTATTTATAGCATTTACATGAGAAGCTTCTGGATAGAAATTCACGTGATCGAATGGATTAGATTTAACCAATCAGCACGCAGCTAACAATACGAGAATTTTCTACCCTGTTCTCCAAGAATCGATCAGGCGCTGATTGGATAGGAAATTAGCCAATCAGCGTGCAGCTGACGCAGTCATGCTTTATTCCATCTATGTTCCCCTAACACTGTTCTTCCTTTTTTCCTTTAACTTTGGGGGTTCCAATTGAGGGCATTTCTTGTAACTCAGTTGGGTGCTTTCTTCAATGTTTGTACTATCCACTTCCAGAGCTTCTTCCGGATTTCCTCCTCTGTTGTAATCTGATTTTTTCTCTCCCCCCACAGTAGGTTGTTGCTTATGGTGTCTGGTTAACGGATCCGAAGTATTTGGTGTAAACAACTGTTAATCACTACTTATATCTTTTGGATGATGGCTTTCGTGGTTTTCCATGTTTCCACCCCATACTGTAGCAGATCAATAGATGAAGTAATGAAACGTCATCAGTTGGTGTGGTTGGGACATGTGCTGCGCATGCCTAACCACCGACTGCCTCGTCGAGCCTTGTTTTGTGGTGTAGGAATAGGTTGGAAGAAATCTAGGGGCGGCCAAACCAAAACATGGCAGAAATCTATGAAATCATTGACGAGTGGACTTAGCGCCG